CTCTTTCTCCTGATGGCTCCTCACAGCAACACTTAACCACTGTCACTGCTTTAATATCTCCATTGCCACACACACTGCACTGCACTTCCTTTTCCCATCAAACTTCGCCTCATGGTTCTTCTGCCTACACTGAAGATCTTCTTTAAGTCCTAGTTGAGCTTTCAGCTGCTGGACCTCTTCTTTCTTCCCAAGTCATTGATTATTTCCCCTCTTTTTCTTTCCTCCTTTCCCTTGATTAATAAGGCATCTGGAGAGACTGTTGTCTTGCTGAAGGTTTTGAGGCCAGAAAGTGGGAGGTGAGCCAGGTAATGGTGGCAGCATGGTGGGGCTTTGCTGCAGGATGAAGGCATGTGCTGGAAGGGTGGAGAACAACTAGGCTCCACTGGTTGTGGAGGAGTGAGGCAGGAAAAAGGGCTAAAAGGAGATTGAAGGAGGGCCCAGCATGTTCCACCTGCTTGAGCGAGTTGGGAGCTCTCCTTCAAGTCCCTCCTGAGTAACACTGTTGAGGTGGCCTCGCTGAAATGCTTGCCTTCTGCTCTAGATACAAGAAGTATGTTTTCCTGGATCCACTAGCTGGAGCAGTGACCAAAACCCACGTGGCCCTGGAAACAGAGACAGAAGAAAAGCTCTTTGATGCTCCTCTCTCCATCACTGAAAGGGGACAGCTGGACCGGCAGGTGAGATGTAGCTGAGGGGATGCAGTTGCTTCCCAGTCAAGAGTATGTACCTAGCTTTCTGAGAGGAGGAGAAAGCTTTTGTAGGCTGGAGAACAGTAGAGGAATGCCCCCATATGGCTGCAGGGTAACTTGCTTATCAGAAAGACCTTGCCTATTTTTGTGCCTGCAGTCCTGATCTGGGCTTAATGGATGAGATGAAGCCCTCAAATTTGGCAGGTATCTCTCCTCAGTCATTTGCTGGATGGTGTGAGAAGTGTCACGTAACATGATTCACCTTGCTGCTAGACCTCAAAGTTATAGAGAGTTTGAAGTCACTTGATCATTTATCTCCCTTGTGCTAACTCCTGTAGAGGAGTGTGAGGTGCCATGGCTGGAAGGTGCCTGGGAGAAGGCTCATGCCCCATTGTTCCTGCTGGACAGGGCCACTTGCTAATGAAAATGAAAAGGCCAACCAGCCTGAACAAAGGGGCATGGTGCTTGGTGTGGACATGAGGCAGGCAGGGCACCAGTCTATGGTGCCTCCACATGACTGACCTTGTAACAAACACCCTGTAGTGGCTGTACCTAGGGCTTTATTGGTGTATGGTTGAATGTGTGGTTTGAGGCTGGAGAAAGGCTGAGAGCTTGTCAGGTCAGACTGGATAAGAAAGCATTGTGTTTAGCAAACAAGAGTACAGAGTTGTGTGGACAGCTGAGGGCCAGCACTGTAGCAAGGCCCAGCCTTGACTGCCACCCAGGCTGTTCTCTGCAATGCCCCCGCTTTCTGCAAGGGAAAACGAGTACCTTCACTGCACTGTCTTTCTATTTTGTGTTTCCTTTAGGTAGCTGAAAATTACTTCTACGTGCCAGATCTGGGCCAGGTCCCTGAGATCGATGTGCCATCCTACCTGCCAGACCTACCTGGCATTGCTGCAGATCTCATGTACAGCGCTGACCTGGGCCCTGGCATTGCACCATCTGCTCCAAGCAGTGCTATTCCAGAGCTACCCACTTTCAGCACTGAGTCAGTGGAGCCTTCACAAGCAGGTATTTTCAATCACCATTACCAGGAAAGACCCTGTGAAGGATGAAGTGGCGAGGGGTTCTCTGAAAGAAAGTGGAGACAAGGCAGTAACCCCCTTAGTGGAGAGGTCAGAAGGGTGCATTTGGATCTGAATCAAAGCTGCAGCCTGCTCAAGTGCTGGCCAGACTCCGGGCCCTTCGCCTCAGGTGACTGCAGGGGCAAAAGAGCAGTGTGCAGGGAGGGACTGGCCTCAGGTCAGCAAGGTAGGAATCCTTTGGGTGAGCTGGACAGGCCCAGTGGAATGGAGCTGGGGAACAGAGTGAATCACAGCCCTTGCCTTGGTCATATCTGCTGCAAGGGATACTGCACAGGGTGAAAGCTCTGTGATGCATGGTGCATGCTGAAGGACTTGTATCAGTTGCTGCTGAGGCATGGAACACCCTCAGCTGAAGCTCTGAGATTGATGTCTTCTGAAACTGTTCAGATGCAACTTCTTTCATCTTTCAGACCTTCAGGATCCTGGGCTCTTGCCACCTCCCCCACCACCTCCTCCCCCACCTCCTCCTGTTACACCAACTATTGTGCCTCCCCCACCACCCCTGCCACAGCCTACAGCCCCCTCTGAACCAGCACGGACAGCAAGTGAGGACAGCAGCAAGACTATGCCTGCAGGTAAGGCTGCACACCTCCATCCGCTTCACCAGCAGAATCTAACTCAACTCCCTAGCTTCAGCTCATGCCCTCAGTGCACTTCTAGAATGGCCTCTTGGCAGAGGAAGGAAGCTGCTCCTGCCTGCCTGTGGGGCTGCAGGCCTTCAGTTTCATCCTGGCAGGCCTCTTGCTGGTTGAGCTGAGTGTGAACCTGTGATTGAAAGTGTCTGTGTCAGTCCCAAAAAGAAGATGGGAGGACATCAGCAGCACTTTCTATGGGGATTCAGGTGGGCTTGCAGCTGTACTTGGGGCTGATGCATGTCCTTCTTTTCCCTGCAGCTTCAGTCCAGGGAGCCCCAAAGGAGGTGCTGAACCCCTCAACTGGGCGTGCCAGTCTCCTGGAGTCCATTCGCCAGGCTGGGGGCATTGGGAAGGCCAACCTCCGCAGCGTCAAGGAGAGGAAGCTGGAGAAGAAGAAGCAAAAGGAACAAGAACAAGGTGCTGAGGCTCTTATACAAATCTGGTCTTCCTTTCTCTCTGCCTCGGGTTGGGGAGGTGTAGGTCTGGTGGGAGACTGGCATCCAGGAGCACAAGGACTACACAAAACAGAGAGATGTTCTCTCCTTACAGGTTGGCATAAGGTCTCAGTATTTCCATTTAGACAGTGCTCTGTGGACTCTGTACACTCCATCTGCCAGGCAAGCATGAATGTCCTTGGTGGACACCCACTCTGTTTTAGGACATCCTTTGAAGTTCACTGGTGCTACATGAGGGGCAGTCAAAGGAATCCCTGGAGCCAAAAGAGACAGAGTTGAGCTGATTTGAACACATTGATTTGGATGGCTGCTGAGGGTATTGAAACAGTTGATTTGGCAGAATGGGACTGCAGATGCCCAAGCCTTCTTGTTTCTGGAGCAATTCCACACTTAAATTGCCCCAGAGAATGTTGTTACGCCACAGCATCTGGCTTCCTGATGTGAAACTGGACTGTATTGGGAAGGGAGGATACGGATGTGATATGAGGCTGAAGACTATATTATTTTTCCTTACTCTGAAAAGACTATTCCAAGAAAATGTGTTTACCTTACTGATAGGCTCAGACTGACTCTTCTCATGACTGTTGGGTATTTTGCTCTGTTTCAGTGAGAGCTACAGGACAAGGTGGAGATCTGATGTCAGACCTCTTCAACAAGCTGGTGCTGAGGCGCAAAGGTACTGTCACACAGAGTGGGTTGCTCCATTCCTCTAGGAAGGAGATAGAGCTTTTTCAGGCACCTCAGTTGTCAGCCACAGCCCTAGAACCAGGGGCAGGCCCCTTCTTAGGTCTGTGTGCCACGACACGGCTGGGATTGCATTTACAGAGGGATATCTGGGGAACCTCCCATTTCATGATCAGCTGGAGACACCAGAGGGAGATTGTGTGCCCAAGGCAGATAATGGGCTCTGAAAACTGCCAGGGAGGGGCTCTGCAGGGTGAGGGTGAGACAGCAGTATTCGTTAGAATCTCATCAGTGCCAGGTGAGCCGGTCTCCTTGCTCACCCTCAGAGCATCTGTGTTGCCCACAGAGGGCAGGGGAGGGCATGGACCTGCTCAGGTGGAACTTTGCTGAAACAAGCCCTTCTGGGGAGCTGTGGTGCCGTTTAAGCACATCTGCAGTTCTGCTTGATTGGGTCAGCTGGCTGCTGAAGGCACAGTGTCATAAGGCATGTGTTCCACCTCACCTTCACTAAGCTTCGTGTTCTCTAGGCACCAGGTGCCACTCACTGGAGCTTTTCCTTCCCTCCCAGGTATTTCAGGGAAAGGGCCGGGAGCCTCAGGAAATCCCGATGCTCCTGGCAGTCCTGCTGGTGCCTTTGCTCGTATATCAGACTCGATACCACCCCTCCCACCCCCACAGCAGCCCGTGGGTGAAGAGGATGAGGATGATTGGGAGTCATAGATGGTAGCAGTTGTGCATCAGCATGAATCCCAGGACTCTTGAACTATGCACCTTTAAGTCACCAGTCTGGAAGTATCTACAGAAGGTGGGCTCTGGCATGGGAGGGCACTCAGTCATTTCTTCTGGAAGAGGAGCAGCAGGAATTAACCACAACCAAATTGTTACCAGTGAGGGTTTTTCTGCTGCTGTCTGCTGGTCTCCACCCCAAATACTACAATCCAGCTCAAATCCTGCTGCAGCTCACAATGACTCAATAAATCCTGCCTTAGCTGGAGGGTAGTAGGGCAGCTTGCACTCAGAGGATCAGAACAAGTATTGTTCCTGATTTAAAGGGCCCTTGGTCTTGCCTAATGTGACTGGTGATGACTGCAGGAACATTCCTGGCAAACAGTCCTTGCCTCATTTGTCTCTGCTGTGTGCTTGCTGAAACTCATGTTTGTTTAGATGTTCCAAGTTCTGAGTCCTTGACAATGAAGCTGGATAGTGGTGAGTGAATGAAAGTGGGAGAGTCTGTCTGACTCTTCACGGAAAAGTCTAATTACTGGTGCCTCTGTACTTGATGGTTTCTTTCTGTCCCTGCCTTACGACAATTCTTTGGCTGTTGCTTTCTGAAAAATTGCAATAAAGCTCAAGGAAGGAGGTCCTTGCAGCCTTCACTCCGGTAAAGGAGGGAAACGTGCTCAATAAAGGGTAGCTTAAGGGAAAGCCCATCTGTCTACTCTCAGCTCAAACTGGCGCTAACCTTACACCACCACCCACAGTGCAGTAGGGCACCAGCTGTCTACAAGCCCCCTACTCCAGCTGCTGATTTCAGTGAGTTTCAGGCAGAGCTTAGCCAGAGTGGGAGTTCTGTGCTCACAGAAGGGGCAGGGGACTCAGAAGAGAAGTTTGTCAAAAGCAGCTGTGTTTTCCCCTGCGTGGCCAATTTACATATAGGGAGCAGGTACCAGTTCCATGTCTAAATTTAAATGCTTTCTTCACTGAAAAGAGCCTTAAGAGGTAGCTCCAGTTACAGCAAGGAGACAAAACAACCTTTTTGACCAGCCTTGTTTGTGATGACAGAAAGAACTGAGAATGGCTGTGGGATTACACAGCCATCGCTGTTGTCAATTACCCTCCAGCCCAGAACGCAGAAAAGAACCTCTAGAAAACTGCACCAAAAAAAGTTTGACCGTTTTCCACAGAAAGTTACTGTAAGTTCAAAAAAAGACTGTATGCAGATAAAAGCACAGAGTGATCCTATGATTAAAAGTGATCAAAGGAGAAGTGGTGTGCTGTGTTATGGCTGTATCATTATTCCCCTTGAAAGAATGACTCAGTCCTTCAATCTGGTACCAACTTGAAGCAAGGTAGAAAGAATGAGATAAAAAACTAACCCACATCTTACCTGTCTCACTGTGTAATTCCAACACAGTACAAACTAATGGCCTGTTACCTTAAAAGTAACAGCTAAAAATTCCACAAGAATTGTTAACTTTGGTCGTCAGACCCCCTGAAGTCAGCCATTGATGTGGCAAAGCCAGTGTGTTCAAACAAAATAATCATGATCCCCACACATAAGTGTCTGGGTTGAAAATATTTAATAGACTTAAATAAAATCTTAACATCTGTAAACAAATAGTAGCCTCCTGCTACCTTCACCAGTGTCGGTCCTGCAACTGGTTTCCCTCCTGGCTGTGGTGATGAAGGCCAAGTGCTCATACTGAACAACAAACAAAGGGGGTAGAGAGGAGATTAACAAACTGCTTGGAACAGAAAAACAGGAACCTGCATTGCTTTGGGTGTTCTTCAAAAGGTGTGGATCACAGAGTTGACCTACAGCCCGCTTCTTTGGTCTGCATCAGTCTGATTTCCCTCGGTGGAACTAGGAACACATGAAACCAGATAACTAACACTAAAGCACCAAACTGAAGGTTTGAAGAAAGTACAAGTGAATACAGCAGGAAACAATTTCTGCAGCAGTACGTGAGAAAAAAGTTCTGACCTTTCTTAACTCTGCAAAGGCTGATCCAAAGGCAGGCTTGACCTGGGTTCTCTCCCTGATCCACTGTGGCAGCTTGTTAAGGATGGCAGGGCGTGAGTACCTGTGGTCCAGGAGCAGGATGCTTGCAAAGTCCTTCTGGTGGCGGATGGCTCTTCCTGTACAGAGTGTGCAGCTGTGTTGAACTGCATTACTGAGCTGTTTGTTCCCAGGCAAGTAAGCTCATATGTATCATCTGTACTCAGAATGATTGGTTCTGCTTTCTTTTTCCCCACCCTGCTTTGATGCAGTCACATTTTGTATCCCCCAGCCTGTTCAAGGAAGGATGAATTACCTATTGACTGGTTTACTGCCTTCATGCACAGGTTTTCAATCAGCATTCTGCTAGGTGCATGGCTAGCAGCTCTTGGCTAGAAAGGAGAAATAGGTCAGAGTGAACACGAGGCTGATGTTAATCAAATTAGGGAGAGTCTTAATGAAGAAGTGAGGTAAACAAATACTTTTATCCTGGCAGAATGAGTGGGTATCCACACAGATCCCAAGCTGAATGCAGGGACAGACAGAAGAAAAACTACAGCTTTAGAAAATGATTTTGAGCAGTCACAGCCAGCCTAAGGCCCCTTTGAAAGCAGAGCACTTGTCCCTTGCTGCTCAGGAACAGCATCTTGAGTGGGCAGTAAGAACAAGTACACCAGGAGAAGTGAGCCTGGCATACACCTTCTACCACCTTGACACCTCCTCTGCTATGAAGGGACTTGGTTCCCCTTGGAACTCACTTTCTCAGGAAGCCCTAGTGCTGCTTCTCTCCACTGACCCCTGTGCATAGGTCTTACTGTACAAATGCAGTATGGGGATGGCTGTGCTCCCATTACCACAGTCTGAGAAACATGGAAAAGCTCAAAGGAAAAAGGAGTCTTTGAAGGCAACAGTGGAACTCGGGTGCCAGGAGGGAAGTTAGTAGTAAAAATCAGAGGTGAAAAAAGCAGAGGTGTAAGTGTCTGTTACCATTGTTTTATCAAGCCAAGTCATTTTCTCTTGAAGCTCTGGAGATTTAATGTTGGGGTAAGGCATTCCCACCATAATCACACACCTGCAAGGGGTGAGGGAGGACCGCATTATTCTTTATGTCTCATCCTAAAGCACTTTGCCAACAGACTGATAAATTAGAGGTCACTGTACCCCTGAAAGACAGCCAGCCTTGAAGACCAAAGGCAGCAGTAAAACACAGTACTCTGACAAGCACACTCTGAACTGGAAGCTGCAGAGGGATTCAGGGTGCCAGAACAAGGAATTATCTAGCACAGCAAGCCTAACTGCATTACTCACATGAAAAGTACACTGGACAAGTGAGTTTTACATTACCTGCAGACTCTGTCCCATTGGCTCAAGCATCAGCCCAAGCCACCTGATTCCCAGACTTTCTATCTATGCAAGTACCGATATGTCCATCCTGCTCGGAGTCACTGCACTACAAGCCAAGTGCTCACCTCAAAAGGAGCAGCCACCTTACCTTCCCAGGTCATCCGAGAAGTTGATCCCTTCACTCATTTTGCCTCCAACTACAGAAAGCAGCAAGGCCCCCGTCATCTGGCCTCCAGCCTGACTGCACCGCTGTGAGAGAGGGACCAACAACTTAGACCAGAGCAGGGAAGATTTCTGTGCTTCAGAAACACACACCTGGACTAGAGACCTCTTTCCCAGCTAACAGCTGCAATGCCTTCTTTACCAGCGCTCCCATCCGCAGATGAGATGATTCACTCCCACCACCCTGCCAGCTCCACTCACCTTTATGCACTTGGCATACTCCACCAGCACCTGCTCCACCTGGTTGGCTTTCTTAGGCTCCTGAAAGATCTGTCACACAGTGCATCAGTTGCAGCGTCAGGAAGCAACAACAAAACAGATCATTTTATTCACTTGCCATTAAACAGCACGTGGAACTAAGACCAGGAAAGGGCAAGTTAACTGTAAGAAAACCACTTAACCAGCACCTTTTCCATCTACCCCTGGAAAAGCAGGGAATGTTCATTACAGCACTTCTCAGCCGGGCTCTGAAGGGAGCAGCAGCTTCTCCTGCCCTCCAACATTCCCTTCCAGCTTAGGCAGATTTGTCTGATGCTACAAGAAGTCAGAAGTCATCTGAGAGATGAAAGGCTGGAAAGCACATGCCCTTCTTCCAGATAGAGGCGTAGCAGGCTGGAGAGACCCTCCAGCTGCAAGGTCTTGGAGGACAGCGATTGGACCAATTAATTTGAATTACCAGTTAATTCCATGTAATGGTTCCTTTGCCCAGGAAATATATTAGTTTTCTTTGCATAGAGTAATATTTCTTTGTGTTATTCCAGCATCCCTAATGGAATTATAAACTAACAAGTTACTGAAAGCCCTTGCAATTCATTGAGCCTGGATCTTAAAAGGTGCTGCACCTTGGCTTAAATCACAACTTATTGTTCTGGTAAACAAGAAATGCAACATCTATCTTTTCTGCGACAGTAAAGAACCGGCAGGATGTGTTTTCTTTTGGTTACCAAGGAGTGCTGTGAGCATTTTACCAGCCAGAGGCAGTCTTTCAGTAGAAAAGTAACTGGCAATTACAAACGTAAGCCAAATCTATTTAATTCATTAAACAGTAGCTATTTAATCCTCTGACTTAAATTAATTTTTCCTCTGTAATTTAAATAGAATCTCAGTGTGATCTCACCACAGCCACCTCAGGAAAGACTTTAACCTTCCTCTTCTATGATATGATCTTGTGTGTAGGCAGCTGAAAGTCACACTCTCTGCACTGCTACCAAATTGCTTTGCTAACGCATATCCAATTTGCTGGAGACTGCAAAGGCCAAACAAGAACAGATCAGCTGAAAGGCAGAGCAAGCAGCACGACTGCGGTGTGAGCCCTTGGAGATGCCAGGCAAACCATACGGACTCCCACAGAACGCACCTGAAAGACATTTTGAATGACAGCTGTGCAAACACGTGGAGAAGATGAAGCGTGGTGTTTTCACCACAAAAACCTACAAGCAGATCCACATGCCAGAATGCCTGCACCAAGGCTGTGAAATACTGTGCTCTGCTAACACATGTGGTAAGTTATTAGCTTTTGATAAAAGAGAAATCACGTAACAAGGTATCTGTCATTCTCTTTTCTTTTTTCCTGGCACATGACCAAAGTCCCTGCCTCTCCCTCTAGGACAGCCAGACTGCCTGAGCTTCAGCAGTACCCAACCTTCAAGTACCTGGGACAATACTTGTACAGATTTCATATCTGTAGTGATTTCCCTATTTAATGTTTCTCATTGCTCTTCCAAAAGCAGTCACCACTGCTCGTCTTTCAGTTCTCAGCTTTACACTTCTACCAGAAAAATACTAAAAACATTTGTCCTGCGAATTGCAGGCTAGTTCTGTCTGCCCCTTGGCCATGCTGGTCTGTGGTCAAGGGACAAGCAGCTGAGCCTGGGAAAAAACAATTCCCTGTAGCAGCTCAACTCAAACAGCTCCCCAGCTGCAAGGAAACAAGCTCACTGGCTACAGAAAGTGAATACTATCTCCCCCCATGGCCACTACAGACTGCGTGCTTAAAGAATCTATAGCTGCATTTAATCTAATTTAGATCCCAGCTCCGTGATCAGCCGCCCGGGAAGTATCATTTATTCATTACTGGAGGGATTGGCTAGATAAACATCCGCTCTGCTCTGCTGTGCAGAGTATGAGAACAACTCAGGGAGAGGCCTGTAATGCATAGATAATTGTTTGACTTTTGAAGCTCCTATTTGCAGTACCAACTGCCCCTGGCTGCACAATTACCTTCTTCTTAGTTGCCAAGCGGGTGAGCAGCCCTGTTTTCTCCCAGTGTGCATACACCTGCTTCTCATAGTCATAGGAGGGGAAGAAGCACACCACACCCCCTGGGACCACATTGCACAGGTTGCAGAGGATTCGGCCTGTCTCATCCATCTGCAAGAGAGAGACAAGAGCATATTGCAGCTGAAAGGAGCTCCAGCTAATGCCACTCCAATTCTGTGCACGATCCCAGGATCACACCTTCCCTATGACATGCATTGGTGAAGGAAAAATGTGGGAAATAGGTGAGGCCTGAGTGCTGCTAAGGGAGCTGGGCATTGCCAAAAAGCTGTTCACTGCTTGGCTTCTCCACCTAATTCAGTTTCCATTGCCAGTGTGGAGCAGTGGTCACTCAGGAGGGTCTGTGTCTGTTGTCCCAGTGGATGGAAATGTCTCATACTAGAAGAGGTGTGGAGAGCTAGCTAGCACATCTGGTGGGATTCAGAGCAGACCCAGCATTTTGTGCTGGGTGCTGACTGAACAAAGGAAGGGAGAAGTGCAGAAATGTCTGATACCATCCCTGTAGTTAGGGCTGCACTCTGCAGGGCTTCCCTGCTTCACTGACAGAGTCCTCCAATGTGGGATGCAGTCAGACCTCTTTGTGGTGTCCAGCACACAAATGCAGGATCTCAGTACAGTCAAACAGCTGCTAGTCTTCCTTGCCTCCAAGAGGTTCTTCTGAGCAGGCAGCTCAGCACCAGGCTCCTCTTTCCCAATTACCTGGCAACACACCAGCCCCAAATCCCACGTATTGTCCCTCCCATGGCCTTTGATCATCACACCTTTCAGAAAGTACTATGAAACATAGGCAAGTGAACCAAAAAAAGAAGAGACACTTCAGAAGGGAACAAAGGAAGACTGACCATCTGGGGCAGGTCTCTTGTCTGGTAGGTGAACTCCAGCTGCTGGTTGGAAGGACCACTGCAAAGGACTATGGGTAAAATGTTTTCTGGAGGGATCACGTGTCCTGGAGACAAAAAAAAGTAGTGAGAGTCAACACAGCTTCCGTGTGCACCAACACTGCTAGCTGAAGAGCATCACCTGCATGCAGTGACAAAGGCTTGTGTTTGTCTGACAAGGCACTCAGCTGCTCTGGCCTCTGCTCCTCAAGCTTCTGGGAAGAAGGCGAGGTGCTACCTACTGTTGCCAGCCAAGAGCACTGAGGAGCTCAGTGGGAGAGAACAAGCACCCCTGGGGTCTGTTGCCATAATTTCTAGAAAAGATACTACGTTGCTTAGAGTGCTGACAAAACAGCACCGATGGCAGATAGTCCAACACAGATTATGACCCCTCCCTTTTCCCCCAGCACACTTACCACAAGAGAACTCCACGATGCGTGCAGGATCCACACCAGCACAGGATAGCAGCTGCTCTCGGAAATCAGCCACCTGTGGACCACAGGCCAGAGAGAGGTTAAGTCCTAAGGGCACTGCAGCAACAGCCCTGGTACTGCTCCTTGAGCATCAGTATTCAGAGAGCTGACGAGCTCAGTAAGGGGGGCTGCCAGCAAGGAAAGGAGATGAGCTTTCTCCATGATGTGAAAACTGAGTGGATGAGAATGCTCAGCCAGCAGCCATACTCTGCTCCCAGGCTTGTGAGACCTTCTGTGCCCCTGCCTTGCTATGTTCTGCTCAGGCTAAGCCAAGTGCTCAGGAGCAAAACCTCAAGCTGGCCCAAGCAGATCAGGCAGCATGAAATGCCGGTGAAGTGCCTTTTAGCGCCCATGCTCCTGAGTCTTGCTGTGGCCCTCCTGTGTGGGTCAAGTTCCCTATATAGAACTCTCTTCACCCATCATGCTCCAATTTCAGACCTCCCCAGGCCCAAAAGTCCACTACCAGGGCTCCCAAGCACTGTACAATCCACATCGTGGACTACAGCTATATCCACTCTCCGAGTTGCAGACAGAAGGGTTCAAAGTTGGAGCGGAGGCCTTCCAAAAAAAAGGCCACTGCTTCTCCAAGGTCCTGCACTTCACAACTTCCATCCCTTGTCTTCACAAGAGCAAAGAGAAGATTTCAGGACATTCCTACCCAAAAACAGGAATGGAGGAGGCATAGCAGAAGTCTTTTCCCACAAACAACACAGGAAGTGAGAAGAACATGTCCCAGTGGGACTAAGCTCTTATCTTTCCCTGGCTCTTTGTAGATAACACCAGAGATGTTCGTATTCCCTCACCGGCTGCATGGTGCCCCCAGCAATGATTACAGCACGACATTCTTTCACCACCTTGGCAAAGTGAACAGCTGGATTCAGCAAGAGGAATTTGAGGCTGCTCTGACCAATAGTGCCTGGAAAAAAAAGAGAGGCAGCATTGTGAACATTGTGAGGTCACAAATAGGGATACAGGAGATATTCCCTCTTGCCGTGGACACTCTGGCAGATCCCCACCACTCAAAATAAGGACCTGCTTATTCAATGCTGCCATGGGAGCAATGGATAATGACAACCTCAAATTTACTTTTTATTTCCTAATCTTCCTGGAGATGTGAAGAGGCACACTAGATAAAAGACCATGATAAAAACCAACATCCAAAATGGGAGCTGAGATCTGCAAGCCCTAGCCCCAGTGCCCTTGTTAAGAATTCCTTTGGAATCGTGAGAGTCCTTGCACAGCCTGAGCCTGCCAGCCTCAACCAAGGCTGCACAGGTGCATTCTGGTAGGACTTTAGGCTCACAGTCGCCTCCCTCCTGCCCATGAAACAGCCTGTTTGTAAGTCACGTCTCCTCTCACCAGCTCTCCTATTCCAATACCTTGCCTATTAAGAATGACTCGACCATCTTCATTTGCGTTCGTGAGGGCTGAGAGAAATCCCTCGATGTGCATCAGAGGAGAGGCAGCTCGGAGCTGGTCATTGTCAGCCTCCACAGGAGGGCTCTGGAGAGGGCCTGATGGCCAGAAGAGAGAGAGAGAGGCATGCAGAGCAGGCTACACTTCTAAAGACAGTTCTGAGTGCTAAATACAGATGGTACACAATATCCAAGTTCCATATCATTGCTAACAACAACAAAAAAAAGCGATCTAGTTTTGTAGCTGGCACCACTAAACAGTTACCCATGATAGCTGAGGTTGCAGAGCCAGCAGGTCACAAAAGTGCAAAGCTTAAGTGCATTCAGTATAAACACAATCACGTCACTCCACTTGGTAGGGACCTCAGGAGATCTAATCAAATGTATAATTGCCAAAGTCATCTAGTCAGATATATTAAAAACATCTCTGCAGTACACCTCCTGTAGTCTCTCATTCGTTGGTTCTGACCTCTTCTTCCCCCATGCAGATGCACATTCCATGTCCTCACTTTGTTCACAAATGCACAAGTGGAGGATGTCTGAACTTACCCTCCTTATAAGATCCCTGCTGGAGAGTCATAAGAAAGTTCTGCAAACCAGCCAGCTTCTGGTTCTCCTTGTTGGTCTTCACAGCTGGGGCAGGATTGCCATATCGCTCCACAAATCCAAAAAGCTGCCAAGCAAAAGCCAGAAAGACTAAGACTACCAGCAGCACAAAACAGATAAGATAGAAACAGGTTTTCTGGCCTGTTAGAGATAAGGTTCCTTGGCAGGTGTTCACAAATCAGCCCAGTAAAAATCTATCAGCAAAATCCCATTATTTTTCCCATCCATCAAATCAAAACCAAACAAGTTATTGAATGTTGTTGACCATAAAGATGCAGGAGCAGTACCTTCCTACTGATGAGGCTCTTCTCACAGTAACGCTGCACCTGTTGGAAAAAGACAGCAAAAATAACCGGTGCTCAGCATCCTGCCTCCCATCCTGTTGCCCTCACTCTGTACCTTGCAGGGATATCACTTGCTGTGCTTGCTGTTCTCTTGGGGAGTGGTGGACAGTTCTTTGTGAGACAATTCATTACAAAGACACTGCTTCTAGAGTGGGAATCTCTTTGGTTAAAGCACTATGTTTGGAGATTTGAGGGATGGGTTAGGTTACTGGAGTAGTAGTGTTTCTTTACCCTTAACCTTTACAGTTCGGCTTTGCCTTCAGACAGCATCTGCACTCAGATGCATTTAATTGCTTGTTTTTCTCTGCCCCAACATCACCCATCCAGCTTTAATGCACTGCTAACCAGATAGTAGCAGAAGAGTTCTGTATAACAGCGAAGCATGGGCAGGCTGCTAGAAAGTAGATACTGCCATATGGCACTTGACACTACTTCCAGCTCTCACAATGGCTTCCTGATAACCTTGAATAAGCTATGAGCTGCACCCTACAGAAGACACTTGTGCTTACCTTGAAGAGGTTGATATTGTCAATCTGGCTCTGAAATAGGAAGTCGTTGATGGATTTCAGCTCTGTCCCTAAAAGAAAAAGACAAAAGGAAACAAACAAACAAACAACTTATCAGCTGCTGGGCCTTATCAGCTGCAGCCCCTTACTGCCCACATCCATGTCCCTGCCCAGTGGTGCTACCTCAGGTGGTTGCTACAGTTTTACCTGTTCGGGAAACTGCCTGGCAGCTAGGATTTTGGTTCACATTTCCTGTAAAATATGAAAACAATTAAAGGAAGGCTTACTATGAGTCTGTCTTAACGTTAAACAAGGAACTTAAGCAAACAACTGAGCCGAAAGCACAGCGTAAGTACAAAAAAAAGCCTCCAAAGAATCAAGAATCAACTTTACATCTGAAAGAAGCAGCTATGCAGAGAAAATGACAGTTTCCACTCAGTTTTTCTTTCCCTTGCAGGATAGACCCACACTGTAGGACAAATGTGCTGCTGCATCCTAAGAAATGCCACATACATTCCTTCTGTAGCAGGAGGCAGCAGGTAGGGCAGGTGCATACAAATGCTCACACAGTTATCATGCTGCAAAGATGAAGGGACAGGGACTGCAGTGCATCCCTCACCCTTCTTCGGTGCAGCACCGGGAGGTGCACAGGCTGACAGGTGATTGGGATGAGGGGAAAATCTGAGGACAGTTCCGTGCTCAGACCCTGACAGACAGAACAGTATTAATTGCTGCCATTCCCTGTGCTTTATGTGCCAGTGTTTAACACCCACCTCACAATTCACTTTGCAGCCTCAATCATGAAGCTGTACTCAGGCTGCAGGCTAATGAAAGCATTGAGCCCAGTGTAGGGAAGGGAAGACAGGCAGGGACAGAAGTACTCATCTAAGAGAAGGGCACAGAGCACCAACATGCTCCTGCACCAACAAGCTGCTTTTTCCCTGTGTAAGAGGTTATGGTGGGCTCTCCTTAAGGCACACTGATGTATAGAAGATAGTGTGTTACAGGAGAGGAGCCACACAAATGCCAGTAAATTTAAAAATCTCAGAAAGGAAAGGCACCTTTCAAGAAAAGAAGAAAAAAAATAAAATCACTCTGCAGAGGCATGCCTGCCACAGGCAGAGGTCTTGCCACCAGATGACAGCAAGATTATTCTGTGCAGCTTTTGTGCAGTGCTGATTACTGTAACACTTGCTGTATTCCTCACTTTGGACCACACAACCTCCCCATTCAAATCAGATCTGAATATCACACAGGAAGAGGGGAACTGCTCCTACCAACTTACAGCATCACCCTCTGTTCCTCAGCTAATGAAAAAAGAGAGGGGTTCAGGCAGACACCATATCCTCATGTTATAAAACAGGCTGAGAAATGATAAAACCGGCATCAAACATGAGCAGCAACTCCTCACAACCTTTCAGGAGCAGGAGGGACAGTGCTCCGAAGAAAGACCAGATGCCTCTGAGTTTCTAAGCATCCACAGAGAAAGAAATGGCTTGCTTACCTCCCAGCATGACTACAAACCGCTCCAGCAAATACAGGATCTGCTTAATGTACATCAAGTTCTTTGCCTTCAAACGTTTACTGTGGAAAAAAAAAAAGAAGGTATTAGGCTCCAAAACATCTTCAAGGACTAACACACAGCTTCCTAAGCTGCAGAGACAAGTAACTGAACTCCCCTTAATTTGGGGCAGAAAAGAACCAGACAGCAGTAGAGAAGATCTACACGCTGGGGAACCGTGAAGAAGCAGTTAGGAAGCAGATTCTGCTACATGGCACTTGGCCCTACTTCCAGGCTTCACAAAGGCTTCCTGATAACCTTGAACAAGCCATCAGCTGTGCCCTACATAAGATATTTGCTCATACTCCCTGTCTGTGACAGGGCTCTGAACACCCTACTGACAGCCACCCCCAAGCATTCACCCATGCAGCCCAAGCACTTGGCTGTTCCTACAGACACCTTTATCCTCACACACAAATTACAGTGGCAGTGATCCCCATGTCTCTGCCGTGATAACATTGTGCAAATTCAGTGATTAGCACTGAGCACAATAATCAGACATTGCAGGTATGACAAGATGTGAGATTTGGTTACAGTCAAAAAACACAGAGCTTCCTCCTCCTCAGAGCTTCCTGCCTCTTCTATAATGCCAGTCAGCCCACAAAAGGTTAAGATCCAGGAGATGAAAGACTGGAGCTTTCATAACTCTGCATCACAAAGCAGGAATGATTAGAGAGAGATTGGGAAAGAAACAGAGTGTAAGGAAAAGCCAGAATCCTCAGGGTATCCCCTTTCTCACTGCTTAATACCAGCCCCAGGAGTCTGACTTAGATGGGTTCTAGACGGAGATAATGATGCAAGTGGCTTTTCATCTGCAGAAGTATTAATGCAAATAACCTTCCTCTGGGAAAAAGCAAGAAAGGCCCTGCAGACGTGAGACAAGCCACAGCATCCACGCTGCCTGCTGCTGTTACACTCTTCTCCGAGATCCTCACCTGTATCGCTCCATGTACTGCAGCAGCTGGGAGTGGGCACAGCACAGCTACAAGAACAAAAAGCAGAGCTGGTATTATAGAGGAGTCGAGAAAGGGTGCTCACCCATGGTTAACAGGCCAGGCCATGACTCACCTGAGAGCCACTGACCTCCGCACTATGGATACAGGTGATGGTGTCTATGAGGTTGTGGGCCTCGTCGATGATTACAACCTGGTCCTTCAGGATGATCCCTGCAGCGTTCCTGGTGGCCTCATGCAAGAGCATCTGATAGGGCAGCACCACCAGCTACAGGGGAAGCACACGCTGCTCTGATTCCAGCTCTCATCCGGATGGATTTAGAGCTCTCACCAGCAGCTCATAATAAGCCCACATCAGATGGCCTTGCAGCATTCCATCAAGTTACTCATTCTTATTATGGGAGAAGTAGCAAGAGAGACAGAAGAACGTGCTTGAGAGGTAAGTTGAGGGAAAATGATTGTGCATACTGATTCCTGAACTAGTTTGACCCCAAAATAATTACTGTAAGAGCAGCCTAGAAGTGCAACAGCAAGCTACCTTCCTAATCTCCTTCTAAGGACTGAAAGCGTGTCTTTTGACAGAGAACCAAGCAAGGAAGAGCACTGGCAAATCCTAAGACTACAGCCATGTGCCTGTATCACCTCATTACTGAACATTTCAAGTATTTCAGAATGCTTTGACCCAAAACTGACACAAAAACTTACAGCCTCCCTACTAGCTCGAAAGAGATACTCTCACTTTCCTTTTCTTTTTCAGCAAAACTAAACCTGACAGAAACACAACCTCTTTACAGACTCCAAAAACATTGTGCAACAAAGTGCTGGTTTGCTTTAGTAATTGGTTTATTCTTAGAGATCCTGGCACTGATTCCCTAAGCAGTGTCCACACCTTACCTGAGCAGCAGGAATAGCGTATCGACTCCCATAATAGGGGCAGGCTTTGATCTCCTTTCCCAAAGTCACCAACTGCTCAATATCCTTCACTTCCACTAGAACTTCATCACGGAGAAACTGCATTTGTTCATAGGAATAAAATGGGCACACAGTGCGACTCACACGTCTCTTCTTGCCTTCAACTTCTGCATCACTCTTCCTTTCTGACAGCAGAAATCAAAAGCAAGCCATGAGTACCACTGAAAAACCTAAACTCACTACTTCGTACCCTGGTAATGGTACCTTCTGAACTTCAAAGCAGGCTTTGTCATGAGTATTTGACCCATCATCTATTGAAGGAGTATTAAAACAGTGACATTTCCACCCTCACTGTGGACACTGCTCTTGCTGGTTAGATTTACTCATGTGACATTTCCCCACATTTCTAGCAGTAAGTTACAAAGACAAGCATTCTTCTATTGCACAAGTCCTGACCAATGCAAATACATTCAGCAAATACATACAGATCTTGGTGTGCTAACCTGGAGTACAAAAGGTAAAAACACTAAGGATCTCTAGCTCTGCTCCCCCAGCTTACCATTTTCAGACTCCTACCGCTCTCTTCCTAGAACCGACTGGCAGAGAGCATTGCCTGCAGCCTCTCACCCCCACCAACTTTATCCGCCATTGCTTCCCCGTGCTGAAGTGTTCATACCATGTTTGTTCTTTTGCATCTCCGTGCAGCGGTCATTGATGAGCTGCAGAGCCCCCAAGCGGCGCACCTCCTCATTCACACACAGGTTCTTAGACATGCAAAGAGAGGGGACAGCAGGTCGAAGAGTGCTCAGTGTGCACTCTTTGCTGTAAAATAGATTTATTTAAAGCAGTCCCAGGCCAGATTCCAAACCAGAAGTCAGGCAGTGTAGCTGCTGCAATAAGCATACTCAAAACCCCAAAAGAAATCAGTAAGGATAGAAAATGAAGAAAGGTGTCCTCAGATGGCTCACTGCTACACAACTTCTAAAGAAATGCTAGCAGAATTAATATCTAAGAGTGCCTTCCCAGTGACTCAGGCATCTGTAATCTTCCACATCAGAAGAGGGAAAACAGACTTTTGCATTTACATCAAAGGGCAAACGGCCAAACAGCTCACAGAAAAAGGTACATTGCACAAGATCTATATCACAACACATAAATAGCTTCTCCAATAGAAGACTCACCTCAGTCCCTGAGATGCCTTCAGATGTGTTGCATCCACACACCTCCTAGCAAAGTCCTTCATACTGAATGAACACACACTCTGGGTCCTTTCTGACCATACCACATACCTGCCTGGATCCCAAGGAGACCAAACGCGTGTTTTTGCCAAAAGGACTTTTCTGCACTTCATGCACAAACTGAGACAATTGGGAGTGAGTGCGGCTGCAGTAGTAAATCTGCAATGAGGAAGACCGAAGAAAGATGAGAAGAATATGGAAGCCAACCTCCTATTCTACAACCAATCCTGCAGGGAGGCTGCCAAGCACCTCAGCAACATTAATCTTGCTCAAGCCTTCAAAACACAAAGCAAGGCATATGCTGAAATGTCACAATGCAACTGCCAAGGCCAACAGCCTTATCTTTACTTTCTGCTGTGCATTTGTCCTTCGTTTCCATTGAATTTTCCAAGGCTTTATAATAACTGGGGCTCATTGTTGTAGAGTGATGAATATGTGCTTCTTGCAGCAAGCCACAGAAAAATTTCAGCGATGTTAGCAGAGCAAACTGCTTAGGCAGCCAGTAAAACCCAGAAGGAGATGAGAGCAGCAGAACTGGTTGCTGTTATCAACAAACTTGGCAGTCCATGGATACCACTTCTTAAATCCTTCCATACTGCATTACCCTGGGAAGGGTGCAAGGAAGCCATAATTCTCTCACACTATTCTATCAGGTGGCACAAATTACCCTCCTCATCTCACCTTTGTCACATGCTCTTCTTCCAAGTCATCATCATCATCTTCCTCCAGCCTAAGGAAAGACAAAGCCCAAAGAGTTTCCTTTCAGCAGATAGTCACTGGGAGTTAGAAACAAAGGATGCTCTACCTCAAGGGAGCTGCTTGTGTCATCAGGACGTAAAAGAAAAAATGACTTTCTAAGAATACTGTAGGTGGGCACAATCATGCCAAGCTTTGCTCTTTAAAAGAAAAGTGTCTGTAGTGTTGTGTCTTTAGCAACTTCAAGAAGCATCTTTAAAAAAAAAAATTAAAAATCTGGTGTTTTCTAAGCCCCAGGCATAAACTAATCAGAGCTAACTATCCTTTGGTGTGCTTATTTATTTATTTTTATAAAGCATTCCCCTTAGAGACAATTTACCACCCTCAAGCTGCTGCATGAAGAAGAAAAAGTTTCAGGAAGATATTTAGCTGCCATACAATTTCTCAAAGGCAAAAGCAGTTTAATGCTTAGTAACAGCATCATTTATACGTAGCTTAAATGCTTTGCGATTTTAAGGCAGGAGGATCTGTCTAGATACTAATTAGTAAATTTGTATTTTAGATGTATTTGACTTTTCATGCTGAAAACTCTGGCTCCTGGCTTTCTGCATAACGCCAAAAGAACAGTTGTACGTTGGAGAAAAGTGTGCACTTGGTTTTCGTGCTGTAGCTCAGTCTTCAGAAATGTGACCTTCTCTCCCTTCAGAATATCAAATGATGCCATTGCTAATCTGCAGAACTGATAGCTTCCTTTGATGCCCCGAGGAGCATTTTGCTTTTCTAATGCAAAGTTCATCTCAAGGCATTCACCCAGCATCCAGAGGCACTCTCTGGGAAACAGACATGGAAAAAGGCAGGAGGTTGTCATGCATTTTAAGAAAGACATGCTTCCTCGGAAGACACTTGAGGCTGACAACAGTGAGTGGAAAAAAAAACAACCAAAAAAAGCAAAAAGCAAAAAAAAAAAAAAATCCTAATGAAAAAAACAACCTACCAACCAATCAGCACAGCTTCAATGGGGGAGAAACTCCAGGTGTGCACAAGTCAGAGCCACCTATATATCCAGCAGCATAAGATGCTCAAGAAAGCAGTCACTGCTGAACAGCTGAAATCCCTTCAATTAAGGCAAGCCAAAAATGATAATAGGACATTAGAACCCCCTCAACTCCTGTCCTTACCCAGATGCCACTTTCTTTTCCTCGTCACTCTCATATTCAGCAAGAATCAGCTCCTCCTCATTGTGATCCAGTTGCTCTGGGACAGCTGCTCCAGCTCCCTCTGACAGAATCTCTTTGCTGAGCTGAAGAAGGTGCTTCATCTCATCCTCCTCAGATCTCTGAAAGGAGCACATTATCTCATTATTTCTCACACAGGGAAGTAGCACTTGCACCATTTTATGCCACCAGCAGTTCAGAGGACAGCTCAGTCCCTTCCCCATAGCACAGAGGAGGGACTGCTGTGTGCATCTCCAGCAGGACAAGCAAATGCACCACGACTGCTTGAAGCAATTCAGCACCATGCAGTGTAAGTGACAGCAGCAACCAAAGACTTGCCCACACAAAAGCCTTCTGTGCAAAGGACCTTCTAAACACCTAACTCCTGAAGTGACCATATGCCTATAATCCAGGATTAGTTGCTTAAATTAGCCTATAAAAATGACTGCCTCAGAAAGAAACTGTGTAAATAAAAAAACCAACAACCAAGCAAACGCATAAGGACACAATCAAATAACCCACAGTTAACCTAAGGCTACAATAAAACTCAATACCTGTTTTAGAATATAGAGCACAGGTTTTCTCTTGTTCTTGTTTTTACCCCTGTCATGTGGTCCTTATTCTAGCACAGGTCTATCCCTCTGCACAAATTCTATCAAACTGTTGAAGAATAGTTTTTTTTTTAAATTTTCTGTTCTGACAAAGAAAACTTCTTCAGTCTGAAGACGGTATGTTCTAACTTCAATGAGCATTCCATCACTGCGGCATGATAAACAAAGGCAGTTTACAGGGGTACCTGAAATAGCTGCTTTTCCAAGTCTGTATAGTGTTTCTGAAATTTGCCTTTGTCCTTTATATCATGTTTCTCATTTCCCATGCTTTTCATTCTCCTTTAAGAGAAAGAAGTTCTTTGTTCTATAGTGTTTCAATTCACCATTCACCTCTGAACCTTTGATATTTATGCTACATCCTTTTGTCAGGAGTTGACACAGCACTTGAGATGGAGTACACAAACACCTGGCTGCCTTATAAGTGCCTGTTTAGGGACTTGAAGTGGGTATTTCTGGGAAAATTAAATCATACCATCAAAAAGCTCTTCAAGTTAAGGTTATTGGAGGCAGATCACTCAATTAAATGGCAGAAAAATACATGTCAACTTTCTGTGTGTAGAAAAGAGACACTTCCGAACAATACAATTATATTTACACAGAATTACAGAATCATTAAGGTTGGAAAAGATCTCTAAGATCGTCCAGTCCAACCCCAACCCAACAGCACCATGCTTACTCCCTTAGTGCCACATCCACACATTTCTTGAACACCTCCAGGAACAGTGACTCCACCACCTGCCTGGGCAGCCCGTGCCGTTGCATCACACTCTTTCTAAGAAGTGTTTCTTAGTACCCAACCTCAGCCTCCCCTGGTGCAACTTGAGGCCATTCCCTCTCAACCTATCGCTGTTACCTGGAAGAAAAGGCCGACCCCTAAGACACCACAGCCTCCCTTCAGGTCATAGGGAGTGATAAGGTCTCCCCTGATCCTCTTCTTCTCCAGGCTGAACAATCGCAGTTCCCTCTGCTGCCTCCCATAAGACCTGTGCTCCAGATCCTTCACCTTCGTCAGACACACTCCAGCACCTCAATGTCTTTAATGTAGTGAAGGGCCCAAAACTGAACATAGCACACGAGGTGCTGCCTCACCAGAGCTCAGTGCAGAGGGACAATCACCTCCCTGCTCCTGCTGGCTGCACTATTTTCTCATCCAAGCTAGGATGCTGTTGGCCTTGTTGGACACCTGGGCACACTGCTGGCTCATGTTCAGCTCAGTGTCAACTCACACCTCCAGATCCTTTTCCTCCATGCAGCTTTCCAGCCACTTTGCCCCAAGCCTGTAGCATTGCATGGAGTTGTTGTGACTGAAGTGCAAGACCTGAAACTTAGCCTGATTGAAGCTCATGCAATTGGCCACAACCCAGTGATCTAGCCTGTCCAGATTCCTCTGTAGAGCCTTCCTACCCTCAGGCACATCCAACAGTCTCTCCCAACTTGGTGTCATATGCAAACTTACTGAGGGTGCACTCAATCCTCTCATTCAGATCATCAGTAAGGACATTAAACAGTACTGACCCCTGGGGAACACCACTTGTGACTGGCTGCCAGCTAGATTTAACTTCATTCGCCACTGCTCTCTGGGCCTGGCCCTCCAGCCAGTTCTTTACCCAGCAAACAATGTACCTGTCCAAGCCACGGGCTGCCAGCTTCCCCAGTAGAATACTGTGGGAGACAGTGTCTATGAAGGTAAACAAGTACACTGGTGAGCAAAGTACAACCAAAGCCTGACCTCACTTTTGGGGGGATTTTCTGTTCTTAAATTTAATCCCAGTTCTACATGTTTTATTCCAGAAGTACAGTGTCCACACATGCTCATGTAAGAAAGAGCTTTCCAAAAACCCCAAATATTAACACTTAAAAGCAAATGAACCATCAGAACAGACATTCTTTTAATCCACACAAACATGTTGTCACAGAAAATTCTCTAAGCACAAGTTGCTTTTCCTGTACATTTGTACATTAAAAAGATAACCTAATAAAAAATTTCAGAGAGCCAATTCAGCAATCCAGTGCAAAGAGCTCCCCAAATACGGGGGGCTGGACAATATAGAGACAAGTCACACGTACAAGCAAATATGACCAACACTTGAGATTATTAAGACAAAGTAAAATGGTTTCAAACTAAAGGCTTTAAATTAAAAGAGTGGAGGTTAAACTGAAGGTTTTAAACTAAAGGGGGTTTTAAAGTAAATGGTTTTAAACTAAAGGAGGGGAGAGTTAGATTAGAGATCAGGGGGAAGTTTTACATTGAGAGGGCAGTGAGGCACTGCCATGGGCTGCCCAGAGAAGCTGTGGGTGCCTTATCTCTGAAAGTGTTCAGAACCAGGCTGGAGGGGGCCCTGAGCAGCTGAGATGCTGGGTTGCAGCCCTACCCATGGCAAGGAGTTGGAACTAAATGGTCTTTGAGGTTCCTTGCAACTCAAGTCATTGTACAATTCTATGATACTGTGATTCTAACCTCTGCAGGCCAACTCACCTTCCTCTTCGCTGCATATTTTAACTGTACATTATGGCGAATTTTCTCAAGACGTTCTTCTCGCTTTTTCCTCTTGACCTGCTCTTCCTGAAACGAAGGGAAAATGATAGAAGGATGAAGTCTATCTAGTCCTATAGAACAGGCATAATTACCTTCCTCTTACCCAGGAATAGAAAATAAAATAAAATAAAAACAATCCAACTTTGAAACAAAACTGTCAAGAGTCCCTTTGTCCTTACATGCCTATGAATGTTGCTACTTTATGCAACTTACACAGGAATCCCTCATCGCTCTTAAGTGGCACAGAGTCCTGTCAAAGGTGATGACCACCAAGTCACCACCCATGATGTCACCCATTCTTGCCCCTCACACCCTTCCTCACATGAGCATTTCTCAACCTTCAGTCTGTGCACCAAATCCTGCTCTTCTTTCTTCTGCACAAACGCCGTGATCCAGTCCGGTTCCCCAGATGCATCCCTGCTGTTCGGACACATCGGCCCACCAGAAACCAGGGGCTGCTTCTTCTCTTCCTGCCCGCTGCCCTCTGGAGCCAGAAGCCGTGCCTCCTCCTGCTGCTTCTTCTCCTCAAAGTCTCGAAGCCAGGAGAGGGCCCCGCAGATGAGGCTCAGTGACTTTCCCTGGTATTGGAAACAAAGAGGACAAGCCACACACGGTGTCACTGCTGTAACCAGCTCCTCCACACAGGAGAGGCACCTGGCGGTGGTTCCAACTGAGTGGGACCAGACCAAGGCCATGCACAGAGATACCGATGTCGCACTTTATGACCCTGCAAGTGGCACCTCTTCCTGTGTTTTGTCCCCACAGTTCCCAAACTGGCACCACAGACGTGGCTAACACACCTTGGAACAGGCCCCCAGATTCTGTGTTTGTGCAGGGAATGAGCCCGGCCTGCCCTGCTCCCCCTCCCCAACACCGCTCCGAGCACCACGCTGCAAGCGGCCCCGGCACGGTGTCAAACCCCGTCACCCCGCCACCCGCGCTGCTCACCGTGCCCGTGGGGCTCTCGAAGATCCCGACCCGCCCGGCCTCCAGCGCAGCGTACAGCGCTGCCATGAACTGCTCCTGGATGCGGTACGGCGTGTAGGGGAACGGGAAGCTGGCCCGACCCGGGCCGCTCACCGCCTGCGGGCACACAGACAGCCGTGAGCGGGCATCGGGCAACAGCCGCCCGCTCCCTCCCACAGCCCGCTCCCTGCCGGCTCCCAGCCGCCAGCCCGCCGCCCACCTCCGCCGTCCCGCCATCCATTCCGGCCTTCCCGCTTCGAAATGAGCGCCGCCCGCTTCCCGTGACGCGAAGGGACGGCCGAGAGAGGCGGAAGGTGCCCGGCTAGGCGGGCCCGGCGGCTGGGCTGATTCTGAGTGGAGGATTTCCTCACTTAAACCTCCCCTCTGTTAGTTTGAAGCCAGCCACCCTCGTCCTATCACCGCCGGGCTGTGTATAAAGTCGGCCCCCTCCTACTTGTAAGCTCTCCACAAGCACTGGAAAGCCGCAATGAGGTCTCCCCGGAGCCTTCTCTTCTCCCTTCCCATGTATGCATACACAGTGAGACAAAACAGCATCATACAGAGAAAAGGAAAAAAAAAAAAAAAAAGGTTTATTTAGGATGGAAACACATCCCTCATAACAAAACACAGCAATACAGAGGAGGTTTCTGTAACGCAGCCATTACCACAGTACTACGTGTAATATAGGAATTCCTAACTTAAAGCTCGAATTCCTAACTTAACACTGAGCTTGACACGTTACTACAGCACAAACAATAGGGAGCTGAAGAAGAGTTCTCTCACAAAAAGGACTACAAAATTGCAAACAGTCTCCTGACTATCAGTAGGAACCCATCATACATGCTAAGTATAACACACACATCTAGGGGGAAACCCTTTTTTTTTTTGGTTAAACAAAGTAAGGCCACGGTTTTGCCCACGTTTTATTGATGTCCCTAACAGGAAGGTGTTAGAAAACAAGGAGGACAAAGCTGCCCAACACTGTTAATGGGCAGTGTACCAACTGGCTATGCTTGCACATCCAAGTCTTCTGGGAACAGCTCCGTCAGTTTTGCTTTACTCAACCATTTTGTCACCCAGATGATGTGTATGGAGGTAGGAATTTATTGTCCCATGTAGGATTTGGAACAGAGGATTGAAAAACAGAACGGGTTGAGGTTCAGCTCCTCAGTTTTGGACTCAAGGAATTGGAAGTGCCTGCTCAAACACGGGGTCAATTCACCATGTTAATGGAAAATATGAGTTTATAAGTCTATTGCAGTGCCTAACGAGCTGGAGTTTTGAATGAGAGCCAACTTGGACCTTTTAAGTTTGATCTTTCACTTTGTTGAAAAATTATTTTGAAAGCCCAATTCTTATGCTTGTATTCTACTGCATACTCACAGTCCCCAAATTACACGGAACTTGGTCTCCCCTCAGCTCTCAGTACTCTTTCTAAACTGCCAGTACACAGTTCCCTGACCTCATAATTTAACATACCACTGGGGTTAAGCACCCAGTCCTGACACTAGAGCTGCTATGGTGTCTCCTTAGCCTTTTGCCACTGTGATTCTCAGTAGCCATGTTTTTCATGTGCCCTGAGACACGATCAAATTCTGCTCTTATTTCCTGCTCCAACCAACGCTATGGGAGAAGAGAGCAGGAAGAGAGAGTCCTCCTACCCACAGTACATTTATAAGGTTTCTTGGCCACATGGATTTTCAAATGCACTTTAAGTGTCGAGCTTTTCCGGAAGCTTTTCCCACACTCAGCACACTCGTAGGGCTTGGATCCCGCATGGATTCTCAAGTGTGCACCCAAAGCTGAGCTATGCCGGAAGGTTTTCCCACATTCCTCACATTTGTAGGGTCTCTCCCCACGGTGGATCCTCAAGTGGACATTGAGTGCTGAGCTCCGACGGAAGCTGTCCCCACACTCCACACAAATGTAGGGCCGCTCCTCCGCATGTGTGGTCTGGTGCTTGATGAGAGTGGGGTGGTCGCTGCATCGCCTGCCGCACTCAGCGCACTGGTAGGGGCTGGGCAAGAGGCTGCCATGGTACAGGGGCAACACCTTTCCCCCGTGGATGCGGCGATGCGTGGTGAGTGCTGAGCTCTGGCTAAAGCTCTTCCCACACACAGGGCATTTGTAGGGTTTCTCACCTGTATGCGTCCGCATGTGGGTCACCAGCGAGGAGCTCTGGCGGAAGGTTTTCCCACATTCGGTGCACTTGTAGGGTTTCTCTCCTGTGTGGATCCTGTGATGCCGAATGATGGCTGAACTGTCCCGAAAGCGTTTCCCACATACCTGGCACTTGTGGGGCTTCTCTCCGGTGTGGACCCTCCGGTGTATGATCAGGGAGGAGCGGTCGCTGAAGCTTTTCTCACACCGGGGGCAATGAAATGGTTTCTCTCCTTTGTGGCTTCTCTGATGGACAATGAGATGCGAGTTCTGGCTGAAGCTCTTCCCACATTCATTGCACTGGTAGTGTCTCTCTCCCGTGTGGGTCCGCTGGTGCCTGATCACGTTGGACCTCTGGCTGAAGGTCTTCTCACACTCATTGCACTGGTAGGGCTTCTCACCTGTGTGGATCCGCTGGTGTTTGATCAGGTCCGAGTTGCGGGTGAAACTCTTGCCACATTCAGAGCAGCTGAAGGGTTTCTCTGCCAGGTGGATCCTTTGGTGCTGGCTGAGATATGAGCTCCGGCTGAAGTTCTTCCCACATTCGGGACACTCATAGGTTTTCTCTCCCACCTGCTGAATCCAAATGGTGTCGTTCCCACACACTGGAGGGTCTGGCCTGTCCCCAGCAAGGACCACATTGCCAATGGGAGTGCCACCACCCTCGCACTCCCACACAGCCATCACAGAGGGAGCTCCCTTTCCCTGCCTCTTCACAAAAGACAGCTTCACCTCATTCTCCATCTCCAGCTCCTGCTTGCAGTCTGGTCTTTCATCAGAGTCCTGGAGGGTATCTGTAGTGGGCCTTCTGGAGGTGAACGGGTGCAAGTCAGCTCTCGCAGGCCTTTCCTGATGAGGTTGAGCCTTCTGTATGTCACCCATGGTCTGGCCACCTGATGGGATGAACAGAGGAACTAGCGATGAATAAGCCTCTCCATTTCTCTTCCTGTTCTCTGTGAATCACTGCTGTTCTCCAGCATTCCTATGCTTAATCAAGGAAGGAAGCAGACAGCACCACAGAAACATCATCCCCTGCTAAGCAGAGTACTTTTCTTCTTTGCAGTCATAAACCTTTTCCTTACAAAGAAAACCAGACATATTCTGCAGCAAATTGCATCTAGATTTTGTCTACAGAACAGATAGGCAACTGAACGGAATGATAAACTATTTTATTAATCAAGCATGGAAATGTACATTTAGACTGAAACATTTAGAGGCTCCTGGTTTTGTATTAGTGCAGAGAACACAACTGGGAAATGAATGCTAGCAGATTAGCTGGAGGGCACTGCTTACAGTGCCAACATCATCATCTTATGTGTGGGAGGTCAGAAGCTGAGCAGAATGCCGCAGGCTAAGCCCCTTAGGTTTTGAGTTGGCTGACCTGTTGATTTGGGAAGACAACACCACAACGGTTATACTGATGCCCGAAGTTCTGCGTATAACACTCAGGGCTGAAAAGCGTTCACAGTACAAATAAAATAATAGCACTGGCCCCCCCAACACAGACCCCAGGACGGCTGACTGACCAACAACACATTAAAAATATTGTCAGAGTAAAAGGAAGAAAAAGCCACACTGTGGTTATTTATGCCTCCTAACATTCCAAGTATAGATCTTTGCTGAAAAAAACGTGGTATTTGATTTAATTTCACACAGACTTCAAAGGGTCTTGGATTCCCCAGGACCGTGTTTTACTTTTGCATACCCTGCCTGAAAATCTTTCTGAGAACAAAGTCTATGTAGTACAGGAGCTGAGATGCAGGATGAGTGTGAAGCATGCAGCACAACATAACCAGATTTTCAGCATTCACTCTTTTATTTCTCCCCCAGGCATGCGCTATTCAATTTCTCACCTTTTGAGCAGTACCTCTGCTGTTTCAGAGTTCAGTTCCTCCTGGACACAGTGCTGTTTCTCTTCACTCTATCCACGAGGTTAGAGAAAAGTCAGGGACAGCAGCTCCTGATCAGAGAGGGAAAACAGATGTAATAAATACCATCAGTTCTAGTAGCAGTGTTGAGACTGAGATTTGGAAAATGAAAGCATCCTAGGCCAGATATAAAATAATGCTCAGAAACACAAGTCAGGGTCACTGATGTTCTGCCACACACACTGTGACCCTGCTGGTGGGGTCTGCTAGCCAGGGCCGCTCACACAGCAAAGACAGGGTTGGCTGCACATACTACAGAGAGCTGCCTGTCAGCTTGCTGAATTCTGTACAGAAAACAGAGATGCCTGAAGCCATTTTCTCCCTGTCAACTTTCCTCCCAGCGTGTTAAATATGAACACAGTACAGTCCTGCTGAAGCAGAGGGAAAATGCTGCCTGCACGCATGCGCTGCCTTCTGCATCTGCCTGGAGTCTTCTTCATTGCTTCCATGGAGGAGCATTTGCTCGGTGGCTCAGCCAGGCACACACAGGGCTGAGAGAGGGATTTTGATCTGTTCACACATCAGCAGCAGCAATAACAGACCAAAGGCAGAACTTCCCATCCTGTTCAGCAAAATGACACTGTGGCTGCCTCATTCCTGACAGAGCCCTGCGACACAGGGCTGGAGATGAGCTGAAAAATGCAGCTACACACGTGTGTGTAGACTGACATCATTTGGATTGGGCAGTTTTGAGTGCCAACATACAAGGACTTCTTTACAGAGCAGAAGTACAGCGTACATGAGTGGGTTTTATGGGATAGAAAATTAGGTCACCTATTTAGCTCTGTGCTGTATTTGTGCAGCACACTCAGGCATTTTAAGATGCTGAATTCTGAACAGCCAGAAAGGTACGGGTTAGAGAAAGAAGATGCTTAAAAACTGTGCATGTGAATACTAGCTCTGCAATGGCACTGCATCATTTCAGTTACATGGCTTCGCATCATGCCACTGGAACACGGCAGGAAAGCTGAGCCCTCCCTCCCTGTGTGTCCCCCTTCAACCTACAAGGCAGCAGGTAGGCCTGACCCTGCTGAGACATCCTGATGGTTTTAGGAGAGGAAAGCCACCTTTCTGTTTCAGTCCCTTTCTGCTATCATTCAAGAGCAGCTCCAAACACATGGTCTATATGCACCCCAAAATGGTGAGCACCTGCAGAAGAAAAAAGCAGATACAGAAGAGAGCTTATTTTGTGCAGAGCTGGGAATGTGGCAGAAAAGCATACTGCTTGATGACTGCCATAAAAAAGGTGAGAAGCCTGCAACACTACCGAGTACCCAGTAGAGACAAGGTGCTGGTCAGCCATGCCTGGACAGTGCCATGTCCTTAGGCAACATCGTGGCTGATGAGACATCAGTGAGACAAAGGAGGAGGGAGATGAGCTGCACTGAGCTCCTGACATGATGGGCAGAGGCCCAAAGGGACAGCCCCATGAAGGACACAGCTGGTACAGGGAGCCACCGAGATCCCAACCCTTGGTTAAGCAGTAATAGGGAGGAGATATGTCTGACACAAACCCAACAAACAGCTACTGTTGGGTGCACAGGGCAAGAGGAGAACTGTGGGCAGGAGGAAGCGGGAGACAACGGAAGCAAGGGACAACAGAGCAAAGAACGAAGGTGTCTGTGACACCACACATCACCACCAGGAACGAGGGAAGCATGCTCTGCTCCCCACTGCCTGTCCCAGCACCCTTGGTACAGGAGGGAGGACACGGGCAGGCGATAGCCTGGCTCAGGCAGCACTCACAGCGCCATGTCAGTCATGCAGGCTCTCCTGGTTCTGATCGGTGAGTAGAAAATGTCTCCCCTTCAGGTCAGGGTGTGAGGAAGGATGGCTGACCTGGCTGCTCTTAGCCTCCTCACCCCTCGTGTACTCCAGTGTGGGCACAGTGGAGGTGAGATGAAAAGGGCACCCCCAAAAAACATCAACACACAGATCTCAGATGCTTACAATTTTGCCAGGCTTTACATACTATAGCTGGTATGTTATTCATCAAGGAGAGACAGGGAGGGACTGCTGAACTGAGGGAGGAAGGACTTGGAGCTGGACACAGCTGGGTACACAGACCAGAAATGAGAGCAGAGACTTGGGCTCAAACAACCAGCCAAGAAGGGAAAAAATGGCCAGATGAGGAGACAGGGGAGGCAGAGGGGGATGTGAAAGAGGACTTTGGTTAAAGGTGAACAGAAGGTGTTAGAGTTGGAAGAAATGGACAGAAAGGCACGGCCTACCAGCCTACATCCTAGTGAGAGGCTGTGGAGGAGTCCCATATTTCCTGGCTTCCTCATTCCCCCACTTTCTGTAGATTTCCACAGTCACTTGGCTGCGTCTCATTCTCATCTAATACTGTTTCACAGAAGGCTCAATAACCTCTATGATCAATTCAAGGGGGAAAGTTACATGCTTTTATTTGATCATGCTGCATCTACAGGCACACAGATGTTAATAAGAGCAGAGATGTTAACAAGATAAAAGCCATGTAGAAATGTTTAAGTTTGCCTTTACAAAAAAAAAAAAAGGAAGACAAAGATTAACAGACTACTCCAGAGGTTGCAAAGTCAAAGGGAACACTTACATCATCCCTAAATTGCATTCATTTTGCAACTCTTGATTTGTTCCTTCTGTGCACACAGCAACACAGCTCTTGCTTATCTTCTTTTCACATTAATTTCGGCTGTTTTAGTCCTGGGATGGACAATGCCTTTGCAGTGAGCAGCTGTTCAGTAAGCAGTCACTCCTACTGTTCTGTGCTTGATTTACGTGCGGATCCCATACAAATGACTCTCTTCCTTGTGAACTTTCTATACACTCTACATTCTAGTGCTTCACAGCTGTTAATTCATTTATAGTGATTTTGCAAATAGCAAAATGAGGGCAGAGAAGGATTAAAGTTAAAAAAAAAACACTACTTTCAGAATCTCAGCTTGAGATGTTTCAGCCCTGTCTTCTCAAAGTAGATGCTACTGTAGCACTTGCATTCAAAATACAGCACATGCAGACTCCAAAGCTCTAGGAGACCTCAGCCTTCATATAAATGGCAAACCACAAGGTAAGGAAAATTCCATCAATAACACACTGAGAAACCTGGCACTTGCCCAGCATCACACAGAAGCCTCTGTGGTGTAGCCAGGTATAAAACCTACTCCTTAGCACAACACCCACAAAACTACCCTTCCTCTTCCAGCATCTTCCTGCTTCATTCTTCCATATCGCTGTGGGAAATGAGGCAGATATCCTGAATGTAGCACAATTCTATCTTACAATTTTACTTCCCCACCTGGGATAGGTCAAGTCTCTACAATGAAGGGACACTGAAGTCCTAAGGAAAGAAGAGTAGCTTGCTGTGCACTTAAATAATTGATAGAAAGCATATGCATAAGGAGATGAAACTAAGATTGCACATGGCACTGTTATTTGGACTCATCTAGCCTCCAAATGTTTGATTTCGACAGCTTTCATAATGTTCTTTACAGGGAAGAATTGGCTTTAAGTTTTGCACATGGGTTCAGTGAATGCTTGGCCCACTTTAAGGGCATATCCATACCTGTTGGGGCACACTTCATCAACTCCAGAGGTCACACACTTAACAGACAAAGAGAATTTGCAGATACAAAAGTCTTGAAAGGAATCCACCTCCTTGCTCCAAGTTTGATAGCAAAGCTGCATTCTCAGTTCCAGCCATGACTTCCCAGACCTTCCTCCCAGCTCACGATTTCAATCTCCAGAGATTTTGGTGATGGCCCCCCAGCCACATACTATCCCCAGAATACTACACCCCTGTTAGCAAGGGCAGAGCTGGTTCCCTCCATGCTTCAACCTCAGTTTTTACTCTCTCACAGCACTGTTCTGGACCTCACATCCAGACAAGGCAACAGAGGTTTGGGCTCACCCTGACAGCTCTTCTGAGCGTGCCATGGTTAGCATTTCCTCCTCCTACCCCCCCTGCATTTCATTTCTCACCAGTGCTGTCAGGCTGGGGCCGCACTGCTGGCCCTTGGGTTGGAAAAGCTCAGCAACTGGGCACACCTCTCTCCAATGATGAGTACCGCCAGTTCTTCAGGTCCCTTCGGACCTCTCAACGCGCCAGCACCGCCTGCCACCTCCGCACACTGTACGGCTGCCAGAACCCTGTAGTCCGGAGACTGGATGAGTATGAAAACCATGGAGTCATCCCAGAAGGTAAAGGCAACTGCATCTGCCATGGGGAGGCAGATGGATAGGGGCCCTGCATTGCCAGCACTGCACTTCTGTGCTGGGAGGGGACTGACACTTGGGAACTGGTAAGAGAGAGGACAGGCAGTACTCCCAGGTGAGGAGAAAGCATCTGTTTCTGAACACCTCGTCTTACACCTGATGGCAGCCGCACGTACTTAGCACCAGCCTCTTCTCAGGGCTTCAGTGGCAGAGATGACCAGGAAGCAGTGGAGTTTCTCCCAAGCACATGAGGTTTTCTAATGGAGAGGTATCTTTTAACAGTGAGATTATTGCTGAAGGTTGGTAAGACCTCCGCACTGGAGTTTATCACCAAGTTCATGTTTTATTTGCCTTTTTCTAGGACCCATATGCTCTGAACTGCCAGAAACTTCCTTCTTCCCCAACTTCTGTGCATTTGCTTTTTATCGCTGCACTACAAAAAGGTATTTCATTAAGGTGAGTTATTTAATTATTTCCTGATGACCTGGTGCATTGTACTCTGGGCACTGATGCAATGAATGCGAAATGAGAAAGTGCAAAAAAGAGGCTATGGACAGGGAAGGTAGAGAGCTATGGGCAGCCCACTTGTCAGGGGCATCCACACCAAGCTGACCAGTCTACACCTGTGGCACCTGCAACCACCTGCCAAAAAGGAGACATTGGGGAAGGTATTCTTGAAGAAAATGAACCTCTGAGAGCCACCTCTGTCCTTATGTCCAGCTCTCATTCCCAAGCAAGGTGAGATAACAAAACTGCTGCAGGAGAAAGGGTGAGTTGTGCAGGCTTCATGGGAAGATAATTGGGAGTCACAAAAGGAGACATCCAGGGAAACATGATCAGGAAAGCAGAAGGTTTCTTTTCCTCCTTGGGCTTAAGGGAGCCCATCTTGGCAGGGCAGGGGCAAGGCACCTGTTCCTCAGGCCCACCACCTCTAGAGGAATGTTTTTCTCCTTCACAGCGGACTGCATGCCCAGGAGAGCACAAGCCCAAACTGGGCAGCACACAAACTTTCAACAGCATGGCCCTGAACAGCGATGCAGCATTGTCTGCTATCTTCAGTCCCCAGCCCATTTCTCCCACCTCTCCTGCAACCACCCAGCCATCCAACTCCAGCCCTAACATGGAAGGAGCTGACATCTCCAATTTCTCACCTGATGGCATGCCACTGCTGGGGAACATGCAGCCTTCCACCTCACATCCCACAGAGGTGACAGTCAGCAGCCAGCAGCAGGGACACCGGCCTGCTACCGACATTGAGGATCTCTTCCTGAGGCTGCAGGACAGGCACGTGCAGAGTTTGCTGCACACAGTGCAGCAGCTGCTGACCATGGGAAAGGTAGTGATGGAGAAAGAGCTGCAGGCTGCTGCCCTGAAACTGCTGGTGGCCCTGAACAATGCAAATGTGTCTCAGGGGGCAAACAGCACTGGCACAGAGCATGGAAGAAAAAAGTGATCAGCAAAAGGGATGAGCCACTGCAGCTTAGACGGGATGTATGGGAACAGAGAAAGTAGAATCCTCCTTCCCAGGCCTGAGGCACCATCGAGGTTGCAGCACTTCCTCAGGCCAAGGGTGAGAACTAGGGAAAGAAGGCCACTTCTGAGGGTGAGGGAAAACCCAGGCCCAGGATTCAAAGATAAAGATGTTGTCTTCTCAAAAATAATTGTCTCAAAGATGCACTGTTCTTTCCTACACAAACTGTTCATCCACTACTGCTTGGTCTGAACATCTCCATCCTCAAACAGGGCAAGATGGAAAGAAGTAACACTTTTCCTAGGCGGGGCTGTACCACTGCCATCACTAGTTCTCCTCTGCAGAGAGCAGGAGTTTGTTATCTCCTTCAGTGATTGCACAGCAGAACGCTAGTCTTTCTTCACCAAGGAGAGGTGTTTCTGCTCAGAAGCATGAAGGGACTAATCTTCTTTAGACATCAGTGTGAATAAACACACACACAGACACAAGGACAGCTCTACCTGCAGAAGGCCTATCCTCCTGCAAAAGAACTGCCAGTCCAGCATTCTATTGCACTGGTGTTGGCACATGGTTTGCGGCTACTTCTGAAACAGATGCTATGACATACAGGATAAACATTCATGTTAAGGAACTCCTCTTGCCTTTCAAAAAGTAAGGAGTAGAGTCTCATTCATGGGAACTCTGGCTGTAGTGCTGCTCCTTTTACAAACACCAGCCATATGGGTAAGACCATACGAAGCCGCCCATGCTAACAGCAGGGTGAAAGCTCCCTGGGGACCAGACAAGGTTTTCTGCACCTCTGCTCACTCCGAGTTCAGAGCTGCCTCAAAGCTGCTCAGAGCTCGAGCAGTCAGCTTTGTTTGAAATATCCAAAAAATTTTCCAGGGCGGTATCTCTGATAAAGCAGATTTCATTTGCAATTGCAATGGCAGGCCTCTTGCAAGCAGGATTGTGCACAGAAAACAGCGTTACATCTTTTATTCCCTATTGCCCAATGCTTATCTCTTTCTCCCCTAGTTCCTCATTGGCTGAGTACTGCAGGTTCACAATCTTCTCAACACTTCAATGAACATGGAAACACTGGACAAACATACATTTTTGCTGCCTAAGCGTAAATCTGTAGTTAATTAATTAACTTATTCCACACTTGATCATTATTTTGCGGATATCTGCTTGTCCTCCCTTCCACAAAGATAAGCTCGGGAGAAAGACAGAGGGGAATATCTTGGTGCCTGCCTGTCACATCCCAACCTTCTCACGGAGTGATAGAGTTTGGCCTTGTGTAGAGGCCCTAGCTTCTTTGATGTTTGCTAAATCTGTTTTGCTGGGAGTTTCTTATCCTAACAGAACAACTCTACAATATATTTTCTAATCCCTAACACTATACTTGCATTGTTTGGAACATTTAAAAACTATTACAGTTTTGCAAGAAAGAATGAATCACATCATTCAGTAATAACGTTTCTAAAACATGCCGCTAACATATACAGCATTTTTACTTCTTAGATCAGCTGTTTCTAAGTTACAGAATACAAATGCATTGCGTTCTGCTACTTCAAACCAATTGCTCTTTTTAATATCAAACGCAGAAACAACATTCCATCCCCACAGCTTCATCTCTCAAGAGAGCGCTGTTAAACAAGAACCCCTGTGCACCTTATCCCACACAGGCCTCGTGTAACCTCTTCCTCTGTGCGGAGAGAGGAACAGGGACGCACCGCACCGGGCACGCTGCCCCTTCAGGGTGGGGATGGCTGCGCTTCCTTCACCCTGCCTGAATAACACAGACACGGCTGGATAACATACAGAACATCCGTATGCAGTGGAGCAAGCCCTTAGGAGAGCTCCCTCCTCTCAGACCCTCCAGTGGCCCCGGGAAATGGAACCTCTTTCAAGGCCCATAGAGGACACAAGCGGGACGGCCAAGCACAGCGGCAGCCCGCTCTGCCCCACGCAGCGCTCGTTGTTGCCGAGGCACCGTGGCTGCGGCACGACAACCGCCGGCCCCAGCACCACGGCTGCGCTCACCTCCCTCCCCGCTGCCGGCCGGCAGCCCACGCGTGGGCGATCACGCCTTTCTGTTCCGGATTTAGAGATCGCAGCGCTAATTCCCTCCTCCGCCGGCTCTGACCGGGACCGGGAGGACCGCGGCTCCTCCGCCGCCCTTCTCCCGGCGCCCCCCGGCAGCGCCCCGTTGTGTCTTAGCGTGCGCGGCCCGGACCCGCGAGCAGCTCCCCCGGGCGCCGCCCGCTGTTGTGGCGGCGCGACCGGACTTACCGCGGCGGGGCCATGTGCGCGGCGATGCTGCCGGGGCCGGGCGATGCGGAGGGGCCGCCGGGCGAGGGGCGGCGCGGCGCGGCGTTGCTGTTAACCCCTGTGTGCGCCGGGGCGGGGGGAGCGGAGCCCGCCCGCGCACCTGCGGCGACTGCGGGAGGAGGCACCGAGGAGACGGCCTGCGGGCTGCCCGTTGTCCGCGTTCCTCTCAGCGTCTGTGCGTTACGATGCCCTCGTAAAGCCCGACTGCTTTCTGTCCTCTTGGTGACAGGACGGTATCGCATTCTTTCATAGAATCACACAATGGCTTGGGTTAGAAGGGATCTTAAAGCCCACGCAGCCCCAACCACTGCCGTGGGCAGGGCTGCCAGCCAGCAGCTCAGCCTACCCAGGGCCCCATCCAACCTGGCCCTGAATGCCCCCAGGGTCTGGGCATCCACAGCTTCTGTGGGAAGCCCATGCCAGGGCCTCACTCCCCTCTATGTAAAGAATTTCTGCCTGACATCTTACCTAAATCTCTGTCTTTTCGTTAGTCAGTTAGTGGTAACTTACCCCAGAGGAAGACAAGAAGCCTTAGCAAAGCTCAGAGCAGCCGCCCTCTGCCAAGGGAGGACTTTGCACAGACAGCGCATTCCTGTGAGCCTTGCCCTGGCCCCACCAGCCTGGTGTGAAGAAGGCACCTCTCCCTTGCACACCTTTCCCTAGCACTTTGTCCTCTGCCTCCCAGCTACGCACCTCAGTGAGCAAGCTGTGTCCCACCACTTGCAGCCTAGCTGAGATATCACTGGGATTTCCAAAGTAGTACCTGAGCGTTAGCTAAATGCCCTTGATCAGCTTAAACACTACTCAGAAAACCCTGATTTTATAGAATCATAGAATCATTTGAGTTGGAAAGGACCCATAAAAGCCATCTGGTCCAACCCCCCTGCAATGAACAGGGACACCCACAGGTAGATAAGGTAGCTCAGAGCCCCATGCAGCCTGACCTTGGGTGTCTCCAGGGACAGGGCATTCACCACCTCTCTAGGCAAACTGCTCCAGTGCCTCACCACCCTGATTGTATAAACTTATTCCTTACATCCAATCTGAATCTCCCCACTTTTAGTTTGAAACCATTTCCTCTTGTCTTGTCACAACAGACCATGCTAAAGAATCTGTCCTTTCTTTCTTACAGCCCCCTTTCAGAAACTGAAAGGCCATGCTCAGGTCTCCTTGAAGCCTTCTCTTCAGCTGAGAGCTGAAATGCCCCAGCTCTCAGCCTGTCCTTGTAGAGGAGCTGTTCCACCCTTGAGATCATTTTTGTGACCCTCCTTCAGATGTGCTCCAACAGGTTCACATCTCTCCTGTGCTGAGGACTCCACACCTGGACACTGTTCTCTAGGTGAGGTCTCACAAGCGCAGAGCAGAAAGGCAGGATCACCTCCCTGCTCTCTTTTTGATACAACCCAGGATACAGTTGGCTTTCTGGGCTGTGAGAGCACACTGCTGGCTCACATCCAGCTTGCCATCCACAAGCACGCCCAAGCTCTTTCTGGGACACTGCTCTTACTCTGTAATAAGGAGATTTTGCTGTGTGTTTGGGCTGAAGGCATCTCCACACCTTTCCAATGCTGACAGCAGTCTCACAGTGGGGCGGCACCAGGCCCAACGCTGCATGGCCCAAGCAGGCAGCTCTCACACTGTCACACAGCAGTGCTGGCCAGTTCCTTGCTGCTAGCAGCTGCATGCAGCAGGTAGAGTTTCCATCCTCTGTGAATTCAGCAACAGCTGCTGTTGCACTTTCTCAAAGTGCCATTTACGGAACATTAAGCTTTTGCAGAGGTTTATGCATCTCTGCTTTCTGTAACTCCTTCTTCAGTACTGTGACACCTGTGGACAAAACCAGCAGAGCTTGCTATCAGACAACAACAAATGGCTTTTCCAAGCCATATTACCTCTCCTTCCTCCTACCTTTATCACAAATCAAGTCTTACAGTATTTTTTTCTGAAATTGAGGGCAAGGGCTATTAATTCTTGAGAACAGTGTCACACATCAGCTGCCACTGATTTTCTCTCTCCCTGAAGGTCAATAGCAACAGCAACTGTATCATATTATGTGGTAAGGGGGAGAAAAGGGCACATTAAACATTACAATTTAAATATGAAGTAGAACTGAGGAAAAAGGCTGACAAGCCTTACCATGCTTCTTCCTGACTGTACAAATATGGAATCATAGAATGGTTCCAACTTGGATGAGACCCATAAGGACAGAATTCCAAATCTTGGCTCCACACAGCACCACCATCTAAAATCCAACCCTGTGTCTGAGACCAGTGTCCCAGTGCCCCTTGAACTCCAGCACTCGGGGCCGTGCCCACTGCCCTGTGCAGCCCGTTCCATGCCCACCTCCCTGTGGTGCAGACCTGTCCCTCACCCCCAGCTGCCCTCCCCTGACGCAGCTCCATGCCGTCCCCTCGGGCCCTGTCGCTGTCACACAGAGCAGAGCTCAGCGCTGCCCCTCTGCTCCCTGTGAGGAGCTGCAGCCGCCATCAGGCCTCCCCTCAGCTCCTCTGCTCTGCGCTGAGCAAACACAGGGCCCCCAGCTGCTCCTCACACACCTTGCCCTCCAGACCTTTCTCTGTCTTTGTAGCCCTCCTTTGGACATTCCATCTCCTCAGGCTGTACTGCACAAATGCTCATCACAAATGCTCATCAGTTCTCACCCTTCTTTTTTTCTTCCCCCCCCAAACTCAGCAGCAATAGTGTCACTATTTCCTAGTTTGCTTGGTTTGGCAGTCTCACAGATCCTAGGGGTACTGTCCTTCATTCAAGGATTCAAGTCTTTAAAAAATCTTTGTTAATTAAGAGAAAGAAAAGAAGTCCAGCCCACCTTAAATATCCTGAAAACCCAAACATGAAACAGAATCAACAATTCAGTGAATCCAAGTTAATTAGCATTTCATGCTTAGTATTTTGCAACTTCTTCTTGAGTTTTTCAAAGCTCACTAGGATGGAGCCAATTATTCCAGCTCCTTCTGAAATGAATGTTTTTGTGTCTCAAGTTGGCTACAGGTGGCTGGAAATCTTAATTACTTCTTTGCCCATTAGCAATAATCTTTCAAAGCAGACAACATCTGACTTTGTTGTTTACAGATATGTTGCTTTAGAGATTTTCAGAAAACTAAGAGATGTGTAGATGTATCCACAAGGAGTTCTGTTTTCTTTGCAGGTAATTTTCAAAGAAAACAGAGCACTAAAATATTCTGAAAGACACAGTAAAAAGTTTCTCAGAGACATTTCTCTGCTCCTACTGCAATGGTTTCAGGATTGGAAGAAAGTCGGGTTTATTTTTCCATAAGCATAAAAAGCCAAGCTTGTTTTTCCTCACTTCCATGTGTACAGATGAGGAGTCTCTCATTATTTTTGCAAGTAGTAGGAAAGTAAATCTCTGACTTAGTTATGAGGCATTCAAAGTCTGTGGTTATTCAGGTGTCAGCAGCC